CTATTTTCCCGGACATGTCCGGCTTTTTGGGATTTCCCCCCAGACGGGGATTTGAGGCCCAAAAAGCCGGACATGTCTGGGAAAATCCGGACGTATGGTAACCCTAGTCAAGAAGCTTTATCTCTGCATCTCATCTGGAGGTGATATGTACCCAGTCAATATGGGGATACTTAAAATACCCCATTATTATTGAGTTTTCTATTTTTATAGCCTTTCTTATCTCCCTGAGAATTTCACAATCACTATCCTGGTCAGGTGGCCGGTAGTATATTCATATTGCTATATTTTTATTATTCAAGCATGGAATTTCTACTCATAGAGATTCCATGGTACAGTTTGATTCACTGAAGATTTTTATTATATTTGACTCTATCCTTTCTTTCACATATAGTGCCACTCCCTAACCAGCACAACCCACTCTGTCATTCCTATATATTTGGTACCGTGGTATTACCATGTCCCATTGATTATCATCATTCCACCAAGTTTCTGTGATGACAATTATATCAATATATTCATTTAATACAGGGCACTCAAGTTCAGCGATCTTAGTATTTAGACTTCTAGCATTTGTATACAAGCACTTACAAAATTTTAGCTGGTTTCAGAGTAGCAGCCGTGTTAGTCTGTATCCGCAAAAAGAACAGGAGTACTTGTGGCACCTTAGAGACTAACAAATTTATTAGAGCATAAGCTTTCGTGGGCTACTGCATCCGAAGAAGTGGGCTGTAGCCCACGAAAGCTTATGCTCTAATAAATGTGTTAGTCTCTAAGGTGCCACAAGTACTCCTGTTCTTTTTGAGGGTACATAAATGACACTGTCTCCTAGCAACTGAGGGCCTGGGCCCCTCCTCTGCAAAGGTGCCAACTGAAGGTGTTGGAGACAAAGGGATCAGGTGACCTCCTGGCCCGGGAAAGAGACAAAGCCCAGAGAGGAGGGACTGGACGGGAGTTTGGAGCTAGCTGGGGACTGGAAGGGAGGGCAGACGGGGGTCTGGCTCGCTGGGCCCCAGAATGGACCCGGCTAAGGGGTCCCGTTCTCTGTCCCTACAAGCTCTGTTTTAGACCGTGTTCCTGTCATCTAATAAACCTCTGTGTTACTGGCTGGCCGAGAGTCACGTCTGACTGCGGAGTGGAGGTGCAGGACCCTCTGGCTGCCCCAGGACCCCGCCTGGGCGGACTCGCTGTGGGAAGCGCACGGAGGGGCAGATGCTGAATGCTCCGAGGTCAGACCCAGGAGGTGAAGCCGTGTGAGCTCCTTGCCCTGAAGACAGTCTGCTCCGAGGGAGAGGAGACTCCCCAGAGTCCTGCCTGGCTTTGTGGGGAGCAGTTCCAGAGCATCGCCCTGGGACTCCGTGACACCCCCCTGGCCCAGGTACCCTCCCCACAGGGCCTCAGCCCTGCGCCCC